ATGCGTTGGATAAAATCTTAGGATTCCCTTAGGATTTCCAAAGCTCCTTGTGCCTAGGAAAGTGCCAACAAGGCCATGCCTCCTCAAGGCGACTTTTATCTGTGGGCATGTGGGGGAGTCCCTTTCACCCCAAGCTGTGAAAGAGGTCCTTGGGAGGAGCCCAGCTAAATTCCACCCACTCGAACTTAGCAAGTGATTATCAGAAGGGTATTTGGAACAGGGGCCCCCAAACTTGATGCTCCTGGCACTTCAGTATTGTGGACTGGTCAGTCCAAACCGCCTATTCAGGTGTTTGTGAATAATGCTACCGGACTCTGGCCCCATAGGGACAGTAATCTCGTAGGTTTGTAACCTGCCCTTCCAGCTGGTCTGCCCGTGCAGACAGCCTTACTTTGCCCCATACTCTTCTCTGTGGGGCAGTCCTGGCTTCCTCTGAGCCAGGGTCTGGTTAGGGGCTGAGAAAGGGCTCTTTGCCATGGTGGGACTGAGGCTAGGGACCGTGTATCAGCCTGGCCTAGGGAGAGAGGAGGTTTTAGACCACTCAGCGGGTGGCAAGGTGGCTCTGGACAGGGCCACCAGCCAAGGGACAGTTTGTACCATGGTAAAGCCTGGCTGGGACTGCTGGCCAGGTATCTGAGGAGGAGGAAATTTCATAAAAAGAACCACAGTGTTGGCAGCATGAGTGGCCAGGGGTAGACCCCAGACCCTAGCTGGGCCAATCAGGAATTTGGGATTGGAATTCAGAGACAGCCGATTAACTTCTGGTGAGTGACTGGAACTTAGGTGCTATAAGGGGCAACCATTTTTTAGCATTCTGGAGTCTAGCTCCTTATAAACTCTAGCTGAATTTCCTATTATTGGACTCCAAGAACACTCTACTATCCTTGTAATAAATTGCCCTTTTTGGATAACAGGAGATGCTTTCTCTACTTGCAACCAGAGACTGCAACCAAAGAACCTTGGATAAGGCAGGAAGATACACCGTGGAAGTTCTCTGTCCATCAATTACAGTCTACTGGGAGAGAGAAAGAGAGGCATCCAACAAATTAGATATAAATGATGTGCTAAATGTTGAAATCAGGGCAAAACTCCCATTTGAGTGAGAGGAAGGAGCAAAGGAATGAGAGAGCCACCGGCTCACCAAGTGCATGCCGCGTGCCTGGCCTGCTCCACGTTGGAGCTGCAGCCTGGGACGCCACAGAGAGAACAAGGTCTGGGGCAGGACAGAGCTGCTTCTGCACAGCAGGGGGACCCCCACCCTCGGAAAATACAGCTCCTCTCAGGGCTGTCTCCAGCCCACACCACATCTTTGTGCAAATGAGAAAAAGTAGTCCCTTCAGGAGGACACAGCCCCTTGGGAAGCAGCTAGGGCAAACTGGATACCCCTGGGCAGATTACAGTTTCCAGAGAATCTTGTGCTTAGAGATTCTGGTTCCTCTCTAGAAGGAGTCTCTAACCTGAGAACCACAGACTCCTGGAATGGGAGTCCCTGAAAGCACATCACTCATTCATTTGACAAGTATTTATTTTTTTAGAGACAGAGTCTCACTCTGTCACCCAGGCAGAAGTGCAATCATGTGGTCATAGCTCACTTTAACCTTGAACTCCTGGGCTCAAGCAATCCTCCTGCCTTACCCTTCCAAGTAGCTGGGACTACAGGTGCATGCCACCACACCTGGCTAATTTTTCTATTTTTTGTAGAGACAGAGTCTCAATATGTTGCCCAGGTTGGTCATAAACTCCTGGCCTTAAGCGACCCTCCTGCCTCAGCCTCCCAATGTGCTGAGATTATAGGCATGAGCCACCATGCCCGGCCTCATGTGACAAATATTTATTAAGCAACTACTATGTGCCTGGCACACTTCTATATCCTATGGAGATAGCAGTGAAAAAACACAAAAAGTTCTCTGCTTTCAAATATGGCAAAATGCCAATAATTGTTAAATCTAGGCAGAGGTGGTAATAGGTCGTGTTCATTGTAGTTATGTTTTTTATGTGTTTCGAACATTTTTATTGAAAATAGAAATTGGAAGACAAAATGTCTGTCTTCGAATAGACAATAAAAAAGATATGTGTATGTCTGTGCTAAGTGCTAACGAATATAAAACAGGAATAAGGCTTGGCAAGTATATATTGAGATTCCAATTTTAAATAGGGTGATTCCAGGAACTCCTCACGAGAAGGTGACTTTTGAATAAAGCCCAGAAGGAGAGGAGGGAATGATCCGGGCGGCTTTGGAGGAACAGATGTCCTGGCGGCGGGCACAGAAGGGGCAAAAGCCCTGAGGCAGGAACATGCCCAACATTTTCCAGGAACCGCAAGGAAGCCGGTGTGTCGCTCCACCAGAGACTGGGTGCCAGGAGCAGGGGACACGGTCAGAGAGGAAACGAGAGGGGGTGGGCAGCTCACGCAGAGCCTCGAAGTCCACCTGAAGGACTGCGGCGTTTTCCCTGAGAAACAAGAGGAGCCACCGGAGGGTGAGAGCGGAGGAGTGACTTGAGCCGCCTCCTTTAAGGTGATATGTATGCGTCCATCCTCCAGGGGTGAGGGTCTCCAGAGCTTCTCTTAGACGCTCAAAGCGGTCCCGAGCCCCACAAGACTAAGAACCGGTGTGATGTGGGTTTGTCCTTCAAACTTTGCCGCTACCAGGTCTGGGCAGGAAGGGGCGGCGCGTTGCTATGGCGACCCTGGCCGGGAGGACGCGGCGCGAGCTGGAGGCTGGAGCCCGCGACCCGCAGGTGAGTGCACGCCCGCGGGCGCGGGTAGGGCAGGGCCGGAACTCGGGACTGACCCCCAGCCGTCTGGGCCCCGCTCCCCTCCCCTTCCACTGTGGTCCTTATTGTTATTTAGCATCAAAACAACCTAGGCCGGGTCCGCGCTGCCCTTGGGAGACTTTCGTTTCCTTTGAACAGCTCATGTATGAAGGCCGCAACCTCCTCTCAGAGCAGAAGCTATATTCCCGAAAGTGTGGGATGGAGGACAATTTACGTTACACTGGTGAACATGCAGTAACACCCAGTGACATCATAACAAAGTTATCAGAGTTTAAGTTCTCTTACAATTCTGAGCAAGCCAGAAAGTGTCAGTTTGGGGCTAATACTGCATTAGCACCTCTCTTAACATTTGCACGTCTCTCCTTTAAGCAGAGTCCTTGGAGCTCAGCAACTGTAAGCCACCTCGCTAAGACTACAGTTGGCTCTTTTTAGTGTTTTTATTTTTCCAGTTACCTTTGCCTTAGGGTACCTGATACTGGTTTTCTATTTATACTAGTGATAATGTAACAATGTCTCCTTTTTTGGATATATGTATTGATTTTTTTTTACAGTGAGTTAATTTAAATATAAAAATTAATAATAGTACAAGTGGTACTTGGAAATAGGAGGGGAAAAAACCCCAACAATATAAAATTTAGGAACTGACAACTGTTTTGCCCCTCCCAGCTTTTGCTCTGGTGTTTTCTTTGCCTGGAATGATTTTCCCTATTCCCAGGCATGATTGTGAAAATGTGTGACAACCAGCGTGGCACAGGCCCCAGGGCCTGGTCAGATTCCTGGAGGTGCCCTCCCCTCCCAGTGTCTTTCAACCCAGAGCATGGAACAATGACCCCCACACACCATGTCTAGGTTTTGATATGGAGAGGGGTGAATGGCAGAGGGAGGAGGGGAGGAGGAAGAGAAAAGGGTACAATCAGACCCCACCTGGCTCTTCTTCGCTGAGGGCCCACTATGCGCCAGGCACTGTAAGTGGTGGGAGACAAAAAGAGAGAAGACACAGTCCCTGACACTCAAGGAGTTCCTTCTCTTGGGGGTGGAGGGCAGGGCCGGCCAGCAGGTTCCAATCCCAGGTATTCTGAGAAGAAGCTGCCATCTAGGTGGGTCTTGAAGCACTGTGACCCAAGGTATAAGGACTGCTGCAAATGTAGCCATGCAGCTGGCCCCAGGTGGGTGGATGCCTGGGACACCATGATTTCCAGGAACTGGCTCATCCCTGAGCTCATCCTGATTGGTCAGTACCTGTGCACGCTGCTGGCTGAGTATCTGATGCTAGCGCTGCTGGAGAGAGTGAGAGAGTGTGTGTGTTTGTGTATGTGTGAGTGTATGTGTGTGTGTGTGTGCAGTCCCCAGAGCCCATGGAGGAAGACAGCTGGTGTTTGCTGAAGGGGAGCAGGGGTGCCTGGGATTTGGAGAAGATCATCTTATTACCCCACACAAGTCCCATGGAGACAGACAGATAGACACAAGTAGCAGAGCTAGAGATCTTGGGGACATGCAGAGAACAGATGGGAGACTCCCAGGCTAGGGAGAGGCTCTGGACCACCCAAAGTCTCTCTGCAGCTGCACCAGGCAGAGCTGGGAGGAGAGCCATGTCTGGTGGAAAAATCTAAGCAGGTGATGGGACAGTGTGCCCAGGCAGAGGTTAGAGGTCGGAGGTAGAAGGGTGCCAACAGTCCTGGTGTGCCTGGGATTGTCTGTTTTAGCACTGAAAGTCTGAGGTCCCAGGAAGCCCCTCAGTCCCTGGCAAACCAGGACAGTTGGTCACTCTAAAGGCAGTTTCCTTTATTGATGGGCTCTCCCAACAGCTTGCAGACCCCTGCAAAGCCAGCCCTTGGGCTTTGTCACTGCCCCATCCACCAGAGAAGGCAGGACCAAAGTGCTGGGCACTGGGCCGGGGGCACCCCTGCAGGCTGCACAGTAGACAGCGGTCTGCCAGCCAAGCACGGCCTGGCTGCCCCCTTGCTCCCCTGGAGTGGATCCTGGTGCTCACCACTGTCGTGTCCGCCCCCCTGGGGGCTGCTCCAGCCTTGGGGCCAGCACCCACTTGAATGGTCATAGTGGTTATTAAATATGTGACCATCACCCCCACTCCAGGGCCAGTTTTTCCCTGCTGCCATCACAAACCCTCCAGCTCTACTGGTCTCCCTGGGTTCCCAAGCAATTATGCCATCAGAGCCCCCCCGAGGGGCCCCAGGAGAGGCAAAGGAGGAGATAGCCAAGGGTCAGTCCAGCACTAAAGGACCTCCACCAAGGGCTGCTCACCTGCCCTGGGGACTAGAACACACATGACTCGCCCCCCTTGAGCTCAGGATCCTGGCAGTACGCGGGGCACACTGAGCCCCCGATGTCCCTGACCGCTTGCCAGCACCTTCCGGCCTTGCAGAAGCAGCCACCATGCCAGTCTCTAAATGTCCAAAAAAGTCGGAGCCACTGTGGAAGGGGTGGGACCGGAAGGCCCAGAAGAACGGACTGAGGCATCAGGTGTTCGCTGTGAACGGTGACCACTATGTGGGCGAGTGGAAGGACAACATGAAACATGGTGAGTGGGGACCTTCATGGGCTCAGGCGGGCAGGGTGGGGGTCAGAGCTACGGTGCTCGATCAGGGCCAAGAAAGCAGAGTGCAGGCTGGGCCCGGTGGCTCAGGCCTGAAATCCTAGTGCTTTGGGAGGCCAAGACAGGTGGATCACCTGAGGCCAGGAGTTCGAGACCAGCCTGAGCAAGAGCAAGACCCCATCTCTACAAAAAATAGAAAAATTAGCCAGGCATAGTGGCTGTGCCTGTAGTCCCAGCTACTTGGGAGGCTGAAGCGGGAGGATCGCTTGAGCCCATGAGTTGGAGGTTGCAGTGAGCTATGATGATGCCACTGCACTCTACCCAGGGTGACAGAGTGACACTCTGTCTCAAAAAAAAAAACAAAAAACTAAAACATAACATACTATACATTAAAAAAAATAATAAGACTTGGGCTGGGCACGGGGTTGGCTGGCAGGAGGAAACGGCAGGCCCCCAGAGACCGGCTTGCAACTGGGATTCTGGGCTGCAGACTCAGCCCTGATGCTCTGCAGATGGCTGAGAGCAGGGTCTGAGCAGGGAGGGAGGACCCTCCTCATTCCCCCAGAACCGGCTTCCACTGGATTAACTGGGCCAGCTCTGGGTCTGACCAGCAGGGGGCGAGGAGGTCCTGGTGATACCAAACCCTGATGGGGGGAAAAGATAAGAGATTTTATTCAAAACCATGGCATAGGCCGGGCGCGGTGGCTCACGCCTGTAATCCTAGCACTCTGGGAGGCCGAGGCGGGTGGATTGTTTGAGCTCAGGAGTTCAAGACCAGCCTGAGCAAGAGCGAGACCCCGTCTCTACTAAAAATAGAAAGAAATTAATCAGACTACTAAAAATATATACAAATTAGCTGGGCATGGTGGCGCATGCCTGTAGTCCCAGCTACTCGGGAGGCTGAGGCAGAAGGATCGCTTGAGCCCAGGAGTTTGAGGTTGCTGTGAGCTAGGATGATGCCACGGCACTCACTCTAGCCTAGGCAACACAGTGAGACTCTGTCTCAAAAAAAAAAAAAAAAAAAAAACCATGGCACACCTGCTCACTCTAGTCTTGCAATTCCAGATCTGTGCTCATGTCCACCCTGCTCTCCTGCTTTCCTGGGTTCAGTGCTTTGGAGACCGTAAACCTGGGTCAGAATGCTGGTTCTACAGGACCATGACCTGGAGTGAGTCACTACACCACTCTGAGCCTCAGTTTCCCCATCTGTAAAATGGGAACAATACTCATTTGTAAAGATAAGAGATGATATCTATCAAGTGTGTAGCCTAGGGTCTGTACAGAAGAGGAGCTCCTGGAATGTTCTCTGAGGGCTGAGTGTGGCAGGGATCACTACTCAAAACCTTCCTTGTCCAAAGCTGACCCCACCCAGTAGGTGGCACAACACCCACACTCAGCATTTACTTAAAGGTGAGATTTCACGCAGCTGTCCTGAACTCTGTGCGCAGTTAAAGATGCCTAAGTGTGTTTTTCAGTCCTTGTGGGGTGGACAGAGCCCTGGACTAGGAGTAAGGACACTGAAGTTCTGAACCCAGCTCTAGCGTGGAATAGTTGGGAGACTTCAGGTAAATCACATCCCATTCTCCAGAACTCGGCTTCCACAGCTGTGACAGGACAGTGGGCTGGCATGGGGTGTAGCCCAGAGCCGACAGGCCTGGACTGCCGAAAGCAGACTTGGTGAAGAATCTGGGTCCCCTCTCTTTAAGACACCCTTTGACCACATTGAAGTGAGTTGCTGTGGTTTGAGCAGATTAGAAGCGTCAAGAGAGTCATCATGCAGGGTGGGGACAAGGTGGCCTGGTGGGTCCCCAGACTGCTTGTTCATTCCCTTCACAGATACTTATTGAGTTCCTGGTCCAGGCCAGGCCCTGTGCTGGGCAGCTGGCATAATCCCAACCCTCAGGGAGCTGCCAGTCTTGCAGAGAACCTGCGCAATAAGGGAACACCCTCATGTCACAGATGAGGCACGTGGGGCTCAGAGAGAGGACGTAACTTACTCAGGGTCAAGGGGCTGAGAGTGGTGGCATCCAGATGTGAAGGGGCCATGAGAACACAGTCAGAGAGGTGATGTTCCAGCTGAGCCTGGAAGGATGAGAATGAATTCACCACGCAGAGAGGCGTGTCTTCCGGGCAGTGGAATCAGACTAGAGAGTGCATTGGAATATTAAGAGGGAGTGGGGCTTGATCAAGGAACAGACTGGAAGCCAGTGTGGCTGCAGCACAGTGAGCAAGGGGAGAGAGAGTGGGCAGGTCTGTAGGGCCAACCATACAGAGCCTCATGGGCCATGGTGACTTTTGCCTTTATCCCAGGGGCAAACAGGACATGGCTTAAAAGCTGGGGCCATGCTTAGTCACTGCTACATCCTCACCTCTTGACACTCAGAGTGGGGTGCACTAAATATATGTTGAATGCATGAGTCCACATGAATTAGGAATAACCCAACTCACGCCGACTTCACAACATTTATTGAGCACCTACTGTGTGCCCGGGACCATGCTAAACACGGTGGAGATGTAGCAGTGAAGAAAACATAGATGCTTCTCTTCATGAAGCTTAGGTTTAGCAGGGCTAGACAGACAGCAAACAATAAATATGATAAATAATAATATAGTACGTTCGAGGTAGTACACATATGAAAACAGAAAAATAGAATAGGGTACTGAGGTTCTGGGTTTGCCGAATTAAATAGGGTGGTCTCACCTCCGTGAGCAGGTGGGGCCTCCTGGAGGTGAGGGAGTTAGCCAAGTAGATGTTTGCAGGGATCGGCATGTCAGGTGGAAGGAACAGCTGGAGCGTCTCTGTTCAAGGAACAGAGTGAGGAAGAGCAGGAGGTCAGAGAGGCAATGGGGTGAGGAAGGGAAGTCAGATATCGCAGGGCCTCCTAAAGCCATGATGATTTTACTCTGAGACACGGGGCGGATTTTGAGCAGACGACTGATACAATCTGACTCGTGTCTTGTAACACTCACTCTGACTGTTGTGCTGTGAATGCAGTGGGGGTAGGGAGACCACTCAGGACTCTTGCAGACATCCAGCTTCAGCAAATCACCTTTCAGCTCTAGGAAAAAAGCTAAAAAAAATTAGATTTTTTTTTTTAACCCTCACAGGGATCTTCTTATTGTTTTTATTTTTCTTTTTTTCCCTTTTTTTCCTACTTTGCTGGGCTCTGATTTGCCTCACTGTCTCCTGTATAGACTCTCAGCGCTTCCCTCCCCTGTATTAAATTCTCTGTTTGAAACACCTAGTGTGGTTTCTGTTTTGTCATCTGAACTCTGAACCCTCAACTGATACGGTCATCTGAAAAGTAAGAGAAAATGCCAGGTCTTAAATCCAGGTCTCCAGACTCCTGTACTAGGCATTTGTTTCCCTGTAGACTAGAAGTTTCCCAGGGTAGAAGGCAGACTGTGTGCATCAACTCCTAGATGGACTCTTGGATGCCTCCTGCACTCACTCTTCACTTTCTTCTAATAGGCCTCTCCCACTTTGGTCACAGAGGTGGGCATGTAACCCAACTGCGCCAATCAGAGAACTGGGATTTTTCAAAGTGGACTAGGACAGAAAAGGCACGTTTCTTCTCTGATTAATAACCTGCTGATTCCCATACCAGTCTCCTGCATTTGCGTGCAACAGGAGAGACTTAAGTCGCCCACGGAAGGCACAGTCATGAGCACCTTTCCTCACGCAGTTCCCTCTGCCTGGACTGCCCTTCCTGGCTCCAAGGTCACATCCTCTAGGAAGTCTCTGAGTCCCCAGATCAGACTAAGTGCCCTACCTCCATCTCAGCACCTACCTTGGAATACTGAAATCCATCTATGCGGGTATTCCTCAGGCCTGTTTCATCTGCAAGAGCAGACACTCAATCTAGGATGGCTTTCAGGTGTGGGGAACCTGGGCCTCAAGGCCACATGTGGCCCTCCAGATCCCCTAGTGAGGCCCCTTGACCGAATCCAACGGTTCAGCCATGGCGGGATTCGGAGGCTTAATGTCGCTGGAACTTGGCCTCTCCATCCATCTCTTCACTTTGTTTTCCTCTGTGTTGGGTTCATTCTTGGGCCAGCTTCCTTCCGCTGGCATCCAGGGCAGGTTGACACCCCACTCCCTACCCCCAACGCCAATAGCTCCAAGAAAGGACAGGCGCTGAGTCTTCCTGGACCAGCTTGGGTCACGTGCCTTTCACTGACCCAATCACAGTGGCCTGGGTGGATAGAATACACTGATTGGCTAGGCCTGCCAGGGGGCGGAGTCAGCCCCACCTAAACACCTAAACACCCAGGGATTGAGAGTGGGGGAGGGGTGGTTCCCCAAAGGAAATAAAACTAGGACCAAGAGGGGGGATGGGACAGGCACAAACAACCAGATGTCCCTTGCAGTGTGGGCCCTGCCAGACCATGGGCTCCTCAAGGGCAAATATAATAACAAAGGCTAACATGGATATCATGTGTCCTATCTGTAGCCACTGTTGTAAGTGCTCTACATTCATCCCACAGTTTAGTGATCAGAGCAAACCCGTGAGATACTTTTTTTCTTTTAACAGAAAATTTGAATGGTCCTGTAATTACTAACAAAATTGGATCTTTTTTTCTCCTAGCTTTATTGTGGTATGATTGACAAATAAAAATTATATATGTTTAGGGTGTACAATGCAATGTTTTGATAAAAGTTTACATTTTGAAACGATTACCACAATCAAGCTTATTAGCATATCCGTCACCTCACATGATTACCATTTTTTTGTGTGTATGGTGAGAACACTTAAGAGCCACTCTCTTAGTGAAGTTCAAGTGCAGTGTACAATGTTAACTATAGTCACCATGGTGTACATTAAGTCTCCAGCTCTCATACCTCTTATAATTAAAACTTTGTACCCTTTGACCGAATGTTTCCCCATTTCCCCACCCTCCACTCCCTGGTAACCACTCTTTTACTTTCTGTTTCTGAGTTCGAGCAGTATTTGTCTTTCTGTGCCTGGCTTATTTCACTTATTAATAGCATAATGTCCTTCCAGGTTCATCCATGTGGTTGAAAATATCAGAATTTCCTTCTTTTTTAAGGCTGAATAATATTCCATTATATATATAACATTTTCTTTACCCATTCATCTGTTATCTGACACTTAGGTTAATTCCATAAGATATTCTTATCCTTATTTTACAGATGAGGAATCTAAGGCCCAGAGAGGCCCAAAGAGTTAAGTTACTTGCCTGAGGTCACAAAGCACAGAGGGACAATGTCAGATTTGCTCCCAGGCTATTAAGGACTAAGACATGAATTGGTCCATGTGGCTATTCCACAGATCATTTATTCATCCATTTGTTCAACACCTATTAGTCACCTACCACATGCCAGGCATGGTTCTGCGGTGCAGTGAACAAAGCAGACCAAATCTGTGCCCTCCTGCAGCTCACATTCTCCTGGAAGAGACAAATGCTAGACACGAAAGGACAAATAAGAGAGTTATCCGTTATGTTAGGAGCTGATAAGTGACACAGAAAGGAACAGAGCAGGGGCAGGGGGAGGCTTTTCATTTTAAATGGGGTGTTCAGGGTAGGCCTTATTGACAAAATGAGATTTGAACAAAGGCTTGCAAGAGGTAGGGAGTGAGTGACTCTGAAGACTATTTCAGGCCAAGGGACAAGCAGGGACAAAGGCTCTGAGGCAGGAGCATGGCCGGTGTGTTCTAGGCACAGAATGGAGGCCTCAGTGGTTGGAGACCAGTCTGGAAGGTGGGAGCGGGGGAGGAGAAGGAGGCTGAATTAGCAGGAGACAGGTCACCATGTCTGTTTAGGAGAACTGAAGAAAACATCCAGACTGTTCTAGAACCTCTGGCCATCTGTGGTATCCATGCAATATTATTAAGAGGCCAAGCTGAAATGCCACAGGGGTGGATTTCTACTTGAGGTTTGCTCTATCGATCTAGCTTCAGGGCACAGGGCTAGAGAACCGCTGTTTGTAGAAATGGAACTTTCTGGGGTTCTCCTGGGTGCTGAGTATCCAGAGATGATGCACAGACCCTGTCCTAGCGCTCAAGAATTGTCCCATCTAGGGGTCCCTGGCGCCCAGGCAGCACACTGCCCCCATCCCCCAGGGTGGCCATGTCTGCAGTGATGGCCCCTCTGTGTGTCACCAGGGAAAGGAACACAGGTCTGGAAGAAGAAAGGAGCCATCTATGAGGGAGACTGGAAGTTTGGGAAGCGGGATGGCTATGGCACACTCAGCCTTCCTGACCCAGAGACCGGAAAGTACAAGAGAGTCTACTCAGGGTGGTGGAAAGATGATAAGAAATCGGTGAGTGGTTCCCAGCATGCCCTGGGCATGGGCGGAGTTGGCAGCCAGGCTCTGTGTGTGTCTGTGAGTGTGTGTAAGTGTGACAGTGTGTGTGCGTGACGGTGTGTGTGTAGGGGGAACAGCCAGAGAGGCCTGGGAGAAAAAGGGGGGAGTAGTCTGAGCGGAGGAGGACAAGGTTGTTTGTGGGTGGGAGAAGGAAGGAGGTGGGGGGATTGTCAAGACTTCTCAGAATAAAACCCAGGAAACAGGAAGCAATAGAGAAGGCCCAGGGAGGAGCCCGTGAAGCTGTGGCCACCAGAAGCCAGCCAGGCATAGGCTTGTGGGGGCAAAGTCTCCTCCACCCTCTTCCCCTCTCATTTCCTGGCTTTCTGTGCTCCAGGCACCCCTCTCTAAGAACGCCTCTTCTGTTAGGCCTGCATAAAGGGGGAGGTGGGAAAAGTGGGCGTGAGAGAGCAGGGACCACACCCTTGGCTGTGGGACAGGAGGGGAAGGTCCTGTGGGACAGAAGCCAGCCAGAGGCATGTGCTCAGCCCATAAACACCGGAATGGGGCACAGATTCCCTGAAGTCACTCTCACAAACTTGAGTGAATCCTCACCACAGTCCCTGGAGACGTTATCTTAACAGTATTGCAACTGAGCAGCTACTATTGTCAGCCTAGAACATGTACCTGGTACTTCAATGAACTCTCACAACAACTTATCATCATCATCATTTCCATTTCACTGATGAGGAAACATGCTCAGAGAGGTGAAGTGCCTTGCCTGGGGTCACACAGCTAACAAGTGGTAGAGCCCAGGATTTCATGTTCTCTGCTCCCA